GAAAGCCCTACGACTACTCTATGTTAAGAAGCTGTCCATCATTCTTCACGGCTTGCCTTGCTGCTGGGAGGTTTTCTCACTGGCCGAGTAAAAGGCCACCCAATTCACAACAACTAGACACCCATGGAAATGGAAAGATATTCCGTACGTCGATTTTCCAGGTGAATAAAATTTTATAATTAACTATTTATTTAATAAATAGAGTATATTTATTTCCTTGACCACAGCACACAAAAAAAATAACCTCCCAATCACTTAATTCTGATTGGAAGAAACTTCAAGTGTTCCCCCCCCCCAAGGAATTAAATTGGGCCCAATTATATTCTTGGCTGTAATCAAATTCACAAGTTTTTAAAATAAATAAATGTGCCATTAAACTCGCCCCCGCCCGATACACCCAATTAGTAAGGGTTGTTAACAGAACCTGCCAGTTCGTTACTAGTACAGCACACCGGTGTGTTGGAGAGAACATCCACAACACATTGCTCTCCAACACACCGGTGTGCTGTACTCGTTACGAATTGGCAGGTTCTGTTTACGTGACAAACCTTACTAATTGGCTGTGTCGGGTGGTGGCGGGTTTAACAACACATTTATATTTACGCGATCTAACCCAAAAAACCTGTATCATGGATGATAGTGGTCGCGAACGCCTACTACGTGTTAAACTGTACTAAAATAGCTCGCAACATTTGGCCTACTTAAAATTTACCACTGTTAGGTTGTTTGTGAATAACTTATTTCTTTTTGATGAAGAAAAATAATAAGAAAAATATACGTCGCATCCCCAAATCTTAACAATTGCTCAAAGTGCAACAATCAATCTCCAATCGTTCAACGCTGCGTCGCTGCGCTGGGCAGCGTGGCCACAAAGTCCAAGATGATCCCTGCACTGCACATGAGCTTCTGCGGCAGTGGGATTGTGGATCCCACAATTGTGATTATTATTTTTCCTGTCGTTTCAGTTGTGTTTTTATTCTCAACTATTGTTTTTATTTTATCGGTATTTTATAACATAAAGGGTAATACAATGTAAACGGACTTCATGTAGACGTCATTGAAATAATGGAATTTTGTTTGGGAAACCGATTAAAATGGGGAACCCTATTACTGAATTATCCCAGTGTTCCCCGAAAACATCATTGCATTACAGGTCCTCAGTCAGACATCAAATGTAAAACCCAATAGAATAGACGATGGCTAACAAGACAATGGTGGAGCCAAATAAATGTTCAACAACGCAGATATTATCCTTTCTCCGTGGAGAGATCTGGGCCTGTCACATTATTTTACAAGGGAGACACTGCTCCAGTTTCACCCTGTGTATAATTATTTCTACCGCAGGAGCACAAGTACGAGTAACACATCCAAACTATTTAAATGTTACCAGGTAAGGCCCCACCGAGCTATGCGGCTCGTATTCAGAAGTGACCTGGCGATCACAAATGATCGCTCAACGAAGTGGCTTCTCGCATGGAAATTTACAGCAGCCAAATACTCTGAACGCGTGGTGGTGTTGATTCTAAATGTGGAGGAAAAAACCGGAGGACCCGGAGCAAAATACTCGCGACCACGGGGAGAGACACGCAAACTCCAAATACACAGCAGCAGGCGTCAGGGTCGGGATCGAACCCACGACCTCCTGCGTACCAGGCGAGATTAGGAAAGGCTCCTGCACAATGTCTACGTCAAGGTAAAGGCGCAGCCTTGCAAATGACTCGCTCACGCCACTGCTGCCGTGAGCAGGGGTCGGCAACCTGCAGCTCCAGAGCTGCATGCGGCAAAACAAAAAACATACTTTAATGTGAAGATAATTTATTAAATGTGGCAGGGAATGGGTCACCGTGGAAGGTCTTGGTGACAACAAAATGTACAATAGTCAAACTGTGTTGCTAAATAATAACTAGGGGGGGGGGATTTGACGCAGTTAATTCCATCATCTAATTTAAAAATCAGAATGTCCTGTTGTCGTCTGCTGCATACCCACTGCCGTGTTTGTGTACAGGCAGCTCTGCGTGTGATGCGGCTTACGGAACTATATAGCATAGCATGTGACTCTTCGTCTTTACAAAAGGTTGTCGACCCCCAGCGAGAGCACGCTGGGCCAGACGTCTTGTCAGAGGTGGCAATATCCAGTGTACAAGTGCCATGGCTGATAGCCAGACTCTGGTGACCCCATTTGGACCGCTGGGTCGACAAAGAGGCGGTGCTCGCAGAAGGGCATCAACAAAACTTGCAACGTCGTTTTAACTGCCACGCCGAAAAGTGAAATCAAACCGACGCGACCCTCTGAATTACAAGCACAGCGTACTCACCATGACACCACATGCCTGTTAACATGACTGGTTGGCACCCACAATGTCTATTGGTTGCCTATAAGCGTTGGGGGGGGGTACCCACATTTGACTCCACCACACGCGTTCTACCGATCAGCGATCTCTGGCGGACCAGTTGATACTGCTAGGGTGCACAAAGGCGGTGGGAAGATTAAGACACTCATCAGCCATGTTCTATCCACTGATGGATGAACGCCTCTCCAAGTGGTTATCTCTCATGGACTTGCGATGCAACACGCACAAGCCGATTCGTCGTTCCATCTCTGCAATGGACGTTCACTGGAGCAAGTTGGCTACTTGTGGGCTGCCACTCCATCACCACTTCTGGCGACGCTGTCTGCCTAAGCCCGCCGCGTTCTCAAACACTCAACCCGACGCCTCTAGCCCAGGGGTCGGGCAACCTGCGGCTCTTTTTAAGGGACTGCTGCTTCGTGACGGTCATTTGTTAAGGACCACCACCGTCTCGCATTCACCGCAACGCATTGGCGGCGGCTCTTGAAAATATTGGCTTGTTTTTTTACCGAATTTGAACAAAATGTCTCTTCTTGTAATTTCCGTTGGCGACCTCCTTGCTCGAACCTGATCCGCTTCCTGTCGCTGCGAGTACACGCCTCTCCTCCACGCTTCTTTAGAACAATTGTCAGCTCGTGTAAAGTGTTTTCTTCTTCTTTGACAATATCCCCGTTTACCGAGCCGTGTCGCAGCAGGTGACGGTACGACGGTTAAAATGTATCTTCAGGCTTATTCGGTCTATCGCTTATAATTGTTACGCCGGTCTGCCTTCAATAGCTGCTCCGAGGTACACATTACTCCGATGGGTGTTTAACCTGGGGTGCACGCACCCCCCTGGGGGTGCAAGATGCCCTCTCTGGGGGTGCGAGACGTAGCCAGATGTTTTCAGAAGGTAAATCATTGAAACGCAAATTAAGCACGGGCACGTAAGTACAACTTACTTTGTTTCATCAAACCTACGTATTTATTAACATTATGATTGTTTTTTAACGATTGAGGCAAGGCTGCAGTAAAGGTTAATAACCACTGGGCTTAACAGATGTCCACCAATATTGATGAGCAGACTTGGACCCTTCATTTTTTGTAATGCTCATATTTATCTTGAGCTTTAACTTTACAGCCTTCTTTATTAACATCTTCATAAGTTTGTAACAAAAAATAACGGGAGGGGCGGGGTGTGAAAACCTGTCAATTAAACGCCGATCGGTAGGCTCACAAGTGCCAATAATTGGCGTTGGTGCTGCTAATGCAGTGCAAAGGTCTGGCTCCCGGAATGGTCAGCTGACGAGTTCTTGCGCAATCACAGCGCCTCTACAATTACCTTCCAGGGTCCACGTGACGGTCTGAAATGTATAAAAGCGTGGCCAGCATTTGCCGGGAAAACATTTCCCGACACCACGGGAAGGTACGGTAAGTGTGTCTGTGAGTGTGTGTATATACATAGGGAGCGGTGGTGTCACGGTTAGCGCACTGCACTTCAAACCTGGCGACCCCAGTTTGATTCCCACTCACGGCCAACACCGGTGACGATTATCTGAACCTCCCCGAGCTCGACTAATCCTCAAATGAGAACCTGGTGCGGTGTGTGAACATCGCCACTGGGAAGACAAAGGCGGACGGGCGTGGTGCTGGCCATTCACCCCCTCGTGTGCCGTGTCGGCCTTCATAGGTGCTCGCTAACAGCACTTGCCCCAACAGTCTGTTAAGGCTATACAGGGGATCGTTGTATATAAATATACCTTTATATAGTAAGGTTGATTGTTGTCTCATTTCGAACGAGAATATCTCATTGGCATTTTAATTGAGTAATGAGGTGCAATGATGGGAAGCTCATCTGACCTGTTATTAAGCGATGCTCGTGTTGAATTTTGTAAGTGTTTATCGATGAGAAAAAACAAAATGCTTGTCAGTGATGCAGCTAAAAAGACCACGCCATTGAGTGATGAAGTGATCGTCGTGCATTCACATTTTGCAATAATTTCCGGTCATTTACAAACGAGTATATCAATCCACTATAATTGCAATTTAGTGCTAATTAACATGACATTTTCATGCAGCACACATTGTTGTCTGTTTGTCAGATACACGCTTTGAAATACAATGTCAGCAATTGGATACATTTCATCCAGCAGTGAGCACAACGTGCTTCATAATTTGCACCATCAGAGCAGGGTTTAAACCAGTGGCACTTCACCTGGCGTGCACGCACCCCCTGGGGGGGGGGGGGGGGCGAGATGCCCTTTCTGGAGGGTGCGAGACATGGCCAGATTTTTTTTATAAAACAAATCATCTAAACACAAATTAAACCCTATGTATGTATTAACGTTTCCATGTTTTTTTTTCCGGTTGAGAACCCGAGGGGTGCAAGACTGCAGTAAAGGCCGAGAACCACTGGTTTCAATTAACACCGCTGACCAGCGTGAAAAAGGAGGCCAACATACACATGCATACATGTATGTTGGACTTTTTCGCACGGCAAGTAGCCTAACCGTGCTCATCAGAGGTGCGAGAAATATCATTTAAATGAGCCCTCGAGAGCCCCCTCTCGCAGAGGGCCCTTCCGCCAGCAGTGACGTGGCCGAACAATTGCAGGGCTGCGCCTCGAACCTTTCTCTCTCGCTCTCTCTGCCCCCCCAGCGTTAAACGTCGACCATGGACAACGGCAGCGACGTCGTTTATCTCGCGACCTTCGAGGCTCCCCGCGGTGTCCAGCTGCTCATCTTCAGCCTCTGCCTGCCCATGTTCATCCTCACAGTTGTGGCCAACCTGTTGGTGCTCGCCACGGTGGTGGCCTGCGCGCACCTGCGCAAGCCCATGAACATCTTCCTGTGCAACCTCATGGTGGCCGACGTAATCGCCTGCGTGAGCAGCGTGCCCAGGCAGCTGCACATCCTGCTGACGGGCGACGGCCGCGTCGCGTACACGTCCTGCGTCGTGCAGATGTTCTGGGTGCACTTCTTCGTGCACACCGAGGTCCTCACGCTCGCCGCGATGTCCGTCGACCGCTACGTGGCCATCTGCCGCCCGCTGCGCTACCACGCCATCGTCACGGCCGGGCGCGCGGCGGTCGCGACCCTGACGACGAACGTCGCTGTAGTCGCCGCCGTGTCGGTCGCCACCGCGCTCGTGGTGCCGCTAAAGTTCGCGTGGGACGATCGGCAAATTCAGGGCATTTACTGCGACAGCATGGGCATATCGCGGCTGTCCATCTCGGACACGCGGATCAACGACCTGTACGGCCTCGCGCTCACCGCGGTGTTCATCGGCGTGCCGCTGTGCGCGATCGGCGTCACCTACTTCAAAATCATCCTCGAGTTGAAGAGGTCGAGCGGCGACTTCCGCAAGAAGTCCGCGTCCACGCTGACCACTCACTTCCTCGTGCTCGCCGTGGTCTTCACCTCGCTCTTTGTCACCATCCTCCTCCCGCGCCTCGTCAAGGACTTCCACGGCCCGCAGGTGCGGAACGCGAGGTGCGCCTCCCAGTTCGCCATCTTCATCATCCCCATCGCCAACGTCACGATTTACGTGTTCCGCACCAGGGAGCTGAGGGAGGCGATGCTCAGGTGTCTGAAACAGTCGCTCCCCAAGGCTCACGTCCACACGGAACGCAGCGGCATGACTTAGGCCAGGGCTAATTTGAGTCATTGGCCAGGGGTGACAATGTTTGATTTTGTTGTACTTTATCGTGAACAATGACAATCACAGCCGGTCCCCAGTTTCACGGCGTCCGCCGGCATGGTGACGTACGCGAGCGGTTTCGCATTTGCAGAGGTTCGTGGTGCGAGACCAGTTGGCGTTATCTCTCTCCCCGTGGTCGCGTGGATTTTTTGTCTGGGTCCTCCGGTTTTCTTCCCTCCACGTTTAGAATCAACATCACGGCGTTTAAGTGTTATTTGGCTGCTCTACATTTACACGTGATAATACGCCACTGTGATAGCCAGGTCGCTTATGAAAAAAGAGCTACATAGCTCAGTGGGCCTTACCTGGTTAAATAAAGATAGATATAAAGTTAGTGGTTCATACTGCGGCGAGTGTATTCGCCACACAATAAGCACACTGCCTGCATCACGGTGGACGTTTAAAGGTCGTGATGAGCCAAATTTGAAAAAACAAAAAACGTACCAGTAAATAATATGATTGGGGCAAATCACACGATAACATTGCACCCACCCAGCAGACAAGACGGATCTGTGTAGCTAACAAAGTGTAAACATATAGCATCTCGGTGATAGCCTGTGTTCTATAGGTATGGCACTAATACCATATGTAGTTACTAATCAATGGTAGTCAACACATGATACTGAAGTTAAGTTGATTTAAACTTCCTGGCTGCTGTTATGTTATATTTGTATCGCATAAAATAAACACATAGGTACTATACATACATTTTAATATAAATTATAAACTGAGAATACATATTTTTCAGTCTCTGAATTCTTAAAATATCAAATCACATTGGTCCAGAAACTAAAATAAAGTGTGTGCATTTTCTTTTCATTTAAACTTACATTGGTGTAGGTTGGTGTATATTTTGAGTTTGCGTGTTCTCCCCCTGGTCGAAAAATGTTTTTATCTGGGTCCCCCGGTGTTTCCCTCTCCACTGAGAAACATGCGTTAAAATTATTTGGCTGCTATAAATTTCCCTATAAGCCACTTTGTTGCGCTATCCTTTGTGGGCAGGTCGTGTCTGAAAAAGAAGCTAATAGCGGAGTGGACTTTACCTGCTAAAATAAAAGTTTCGTTTTATTTGTACATGGAGTGATTTGTTTACCTTCTGTATTCTCCGCAATCCTATCGTGTTTTTTTTAAATATTGTTTGTTATTGTAACGCTCTGACCTGCCCCACACTATACTTTGAAAAACAGCCGTATAGCTCATCGGATCCCTGCAGTATAAATATTCTGATTCTGGAGTAATTCCTTGAGTGGGTATCACGATGCGCTATGAACCCGGCGACCAGAGTTCAATTCCCAGCTATGGCTAACATAAGTGGCAAGTGATGTCGGAACCAGTCTTGCCCTAACCATCACCCTCTCCCCTTCACCAACCTACACTGAACAGCGTGAAGTATGATAGAATATGAATAAAAAACTATCCAAAACCGAAATGCTATTGGTAGGTTTTCATTTATCTCTTTGAGAATGGCTGGAATATATTTTGTTCACGTAGAAATAAGTAGATTTCCATTGCCAATATGTGTTTAGTTTGCTGTCCTTCCCTGGAACCTCCGATTCGCACGGTTGGCTCCGTACAGTGCGAAATAAGGTCAATATACATGACATATATTTATATAAGGAACCATTCCAGTTGCTTAAATATAGCATTTTGAGTTACTGTGCATTATGGAAATGAATAAAACAATACCCCCGTGAAAACTGGCACAATCAAATCTTTTCATTGAAATGTAAAATGTTACGTGATTTGAGTTGGCTCAATTTTGTTGTTGCAATTATGGACAATGGCTTTGTGTGTATTTTTGTATTGTTATGGATTTTTATCTGTTATTATGGATTTTTTAATTGCTACTGGCAACCCACACGTCCTTCGGACGTGACCGGTCAGCAACACTTTACTTGTTATCTCAAGCCCTGTCTCTCTCCACCTTTTTAAAGCCTTCTCTGTACTATATAAGGCAATGTTTCTAGATTCCCCCCTCTGATTATATTTCTATATTCCTATCCCCTCTTCTACCTCTCCCTTCCTCTGAAATCAACCCACCGTATCTCACCCATTTCCCTGCCCCTTATCTCTCTCCCAGTTATCTCTCTCGCTCTCCTCTTGCCTCGTTTGTTTCCTTTCCTCTCCAATGTACGCCTTTTCACGGTATCCCTGCCTGCCTCTCTCCCCTCCGTCTCTTCCTGCGTCCTCTGTCTCCCTCCCACACCTCCCTCTTCTCTCTTCCTCGATCGCATTCGGACGGGTTGCGGAGGCGTGACCGGGGGGCGTGACGCTTTGGAATGTCGGTGACGTCCTCGCGCTGTGATGGCACCTCCGGCCAAACGCACTTCGCTACGTGCCAGCCAGGTAGACAGGAATCCAGGCAGGTAACGGTTTTTTTTCTTTCTAATATACAGGCGGTCCCCACGTTTACCACACAATGGTGTTTCCTTTAAAAGAGTAGAAACAAGGAAAAACACCACGTGCCGATGTGTCTTTCCTTTTAACAGCCATATTTATCAGGATTAAGATGTTAAAAAAATTCCACAAAAACACACTCGAGAATAACAAAAGTTCCACGCCAAATCGCATCGATAACTAAATTGTCCAAATGTGTTCAGTCATGTCAGAAGATGCGTCGTAACTCGATCTGTGGTGGTATTATTTCAACGTCGTAATCTAGTCGTAAAACTGACTGTGGTAAACCGGATACCGCCTGTAGAATGATTGTGAGGCACTCTGGGATTCTCTGCATCAGCAGTACTACGGAGTACATTATCTTGTACTATATATGTATGTGATGCTTTATAAGTGCTTTTTTCAATACAATACACAGGGGATCATTTTGAGAATAAGGTATCAGTTTCCGCATATATTAACAATGCATCGTTTCCAATTAAGGACGAGGATTCATGTCCCAAGAAACACGCAGCACAAATCACTTCGAATATCTATTTGTACAATGAGAATGCATTATTGATTCATGATTATAGCAAGACGACCTGCAGCAGCGATAGTTATTGATGTGCAAGAAGGAACACAGCGGCTCAACACACGGGGAATGGCTCTCATTATTGATAAGTGCAGCTCCCAGTCTCGTCAACCTGCATCTTGTCTCCCCTTCCCGTCTCCCCTTCACTCTCTCCTCCAACCTTCCATGGCCCCTCTCAACTAATCCCTCCTTGCATCCTCTCCTTCCTCTGACACGTTCCCAACCCCTGTCCATGGATGCGACGGCTCTGCTATGTTATGCCATTTTGCTAATGGTTGTGTCGACAGGTGCTGGGCCAGTCCCTGGCTAACACTGCTCAGTCGATCATCCAGAAAGCCAAACGACTCTCCCTCCAGCTACCAAGCAAACTAATGTCTTGTCCTCCACCTCAAAGCTGATGGATCGTGCCGTGCTTGCCAGACTATCCCCCCATTATCGACCCCCAACTGCCTCCTGAACGAGCCGGATTTCGAACAGATCGTTGCCTTCCAAACCCTCATAGAAGCTGGTTTCCAGCATCAACAGAAGACTGGCGAAGCAACGACTGAACTCTCTGGTGCTGCCTGTGGCACTCTTTTGCATGTATGTGTGTTGAACTTCTTTCGCACAGTACGTAGCCAACCGTGCTAATCGGAGCTGCGGGGGATAGGACAAGAAACTTAACACAAAAATCAGTTGTAAAGAAATGCGATTTAAATCAAAATTTAACAGTGCATAGCTCCACTGGCTTCCAAATATCAGACGGAAGAGCGTTCTAGACGGCCGCCGAAGGGCATCTGAAAGCGTGCAATGCGGTGACTTCCTTTGTTGGACGGTTAGCCAGAAGCCGCTGTTGCAAAGATGACTGTGATGAATTTCGATTTAAAGCTTTCGTGACTGCAGGGATTCATCTTCTTGGTTCTTTCGGTAAAGTCGCGTAGAAGGGAAGTAATAAAATAATAAAAATAAAACATAATAAAATAATTCTTGCGACGTTTCGGCCACAACGCAAGCAGCCGTCCTCAGGTGAAGAACATGTCTGTCGATAAGACAGAGTCTAAATGACACGTCTTAGGCTTGGAGTGTCTATTTAAGCTGTGAGGGAGGAGGAAGAGAGCCTTGACAAAAGAATTTGCATTTGAAGAGGAATTTAGCATATTTATGGGAAATGCAGGAATGCGAATAGTGCTAATTGTGAAATGCGTGGGAGGTGGGCGGGGGGTTTTCAAAGTCATATTATGCCCGTGCATTATGCAGGATTAACAGCATCAAAGGGAGGGGGCAGGGGCAGCACCAACAAAGGGAAGGAATGTGAATAGTATGCAGCTGCAGCAACCAAACAACCACGTAAAAAACTAAAGTATAAACTTCATAGTATCATCAGTATACTAAATATACTCTCTAATAAGCTGAGCTACTAACAGAATTGTAATGTATTACTTACTGTTAGTAGCTCAGCTTATTTGAGAGTATATTATATATGGTTGATGCTCCTTGACGAGATCAGGAAAGGTGTTGTGGTAAATTTGTGGCAAGCACTTTGTGTGTAATGAGTGTACATTACACCTAATCGATGCTCAGCAACGGTACTGTCGGGGTGAAGACAGCCGCAAGAGAATTATGAAAAACGGCCTCCCTCTAGCCCAGGGGTCGACAACCCGCGGCTCAGCAGCCACATACGGCTCTTTAAGAGCTGTTTCGTGAAGTTTTCTATTAAAGGACCGTCTCGTATTCACATGCATTGAAATATTGAGGGTTTTTTTCACCGAATTCGAACTAATTCCTCTTCTCGTTCTCCTGGTTGCCGACCCATGCTCTAGCCTGTCTGCCCATGCTCCCATTTCTAACGCTTTCTTACAACTTTTCAAAATACCCCCCTACATACTCACCCTCATCCACCGCGCCGTCCCTCGCCATCCATTGTCACTTGACCATCCATTATCAACTTCCCCGCCGATCCGTCACCGCAACTCCTCACGACTTCACAACCCATTAC